GATATGTAGTTTAGGAAATAATGAAAATACGAAAAACGGGCCAGAGAGCACGTCTTGATGGTGAAACTTGTTTTTCAGTTTCTGATGAACAGGAATCATACCTACCTGGGTCATTTAGCAGTTACGAGAGTTCACTGGTCGCTTGATTTTCGAGATAAAGCTCGCGCGCAATCTCGGAATGCAACAGAAAAAGTGATGTCACGGCCAAAGTGGCGCAAAGTGGCACCCGAATTTTGCAGAATCGTATTCTCAGGACTCCTACGAACATGCCTATACAAATTTTTCTGGCGGATGGTGGAGGATGGGTAGTTAAAAGTTTACCTTAACTTTTTTTTTCTGCATTTTGATATAAGCACATTAGTGCAAACATAATCATTGAAAAAATGGGCCGAATACAAAAAATTACTAGTGCAATGTGTTCTCCAGACTCTTGAAAATAAGAATATGTCAATGAAACTAGCATTAATTTAAACAGAAGCAAGCTAAGTGCTGCGGCAGCTCACCGGTCGCTTGATTTTCGAGATAAGGCTCGCGCACAATCTCGGAACGCAACAGAAAAAGTGACGTCACGGCCAAAGTGGCGCAAAGTGGCACCCAAATTTCGCGGGATCGTACTCTCAGGACTCCTACGAACATGCCTATACAAATTTTTCTGGCGGATGGTGGCGGATGGGTAGTTAAAAGTTTACCTAAACTTTTTTTTTTCGCTTTTAGAGATGAGCACATTAGCGCAAACATAATCATTGAAAAAATGGGCCGAACACAAAAAATTACTAGTGCAATGTGTTCTCCAGACTCTGAAGAACAAGAATATGTCAATGAAATTAGCATTAATTTAAACAGAAGCAAGTTAAATGGAATAGAAAGACTCGGACGATTTTTCGCTAAAATAAAAAGTTACGCAAAGCCCCTCTTTGATGCCTTCGGTCACAAAAATGAACATGTTTCGTTCCAAATCAATGTCAGATCCTTAAAATATAACTCTTGAGGAACACTTTTGACCCTTAAAAAATGCGATTCGCCCGAATCGCCCATGACCGACCTGTACCATTGACTCGATCCACCGTGCGCCGCGCCGTTTCCAACTCCTCGTCTCCGCTTTCAAATTCAAATTGTGCCCGGGAACGGCGAGGATTTTTCCCGCGTTCCCGGGTTCCCAGCATCGATCCCCATCAACCCACGGGAAAATGAGCCAACTTTCGAATTAAATGAAATTCCCAGTTTTCGTTCCGACTCGAGGTGAATCCACTCGCTAGGCGCTCCGCGTTAACTCCTAGGAGGGGGATACACAAAGAGACAGGGATGGAAAGTTCTCACGGATTGAGTCCTGGAGTGCCGTGCTAAGGAAGAACGCCGTATGAGCCTTGGTCAGTTGCCAAATTTTCTTTGATAAAACTCTAATTTCCAAGTGATTTTATAAATTATTTTCTTCCAAATTTTTCGCAATTATGCCCTTAGTTCCTGGAAATTTCAAGGAAAAATAGTCATAACTTTCCTGAAAAATAATCATTTTACCGGAGACAATTTGGCAACTCTCAAATGTTCATACGGCGTTTTTCCTTAGCACGGCAGTAGAGGAGAGGGAGGCAGATAGAGAAAGAGTCGGGGACGGAGAGACTTCCAGGGATTGAGCCCTAGAAGAGTAACAGAGAGAAAGAGGAGGGGATAAAAAGTTCCTGGGATTGAATCCTAGGAGAGAGGAGGGAGTAGGTACACTGAAAAAAAAGTATGGTAACGTTTACTATTATTCTACTTGATTTTTTATAAAGGGATACTATTTAGTGAAAATAACTAGAATTATAGTAGTATATTCACCAGCATTCTGCACTGGAAAAAAAAAAACACATTAGATCTAGGTCCAGACTATCTGAAAACATTCACAAGAAAAAGGACTCTTGATTCAAGCAGATTTAAGCTAAAATCAAAAGGAAATCCGCTCAAATTAAGAAGCATGGTTCTTGATTTAAGCTTAAATCTGATTGAATCAAGAGTATTTTTTCTTGTCGATGTTTTTAGAGTCTGGACTCTAGATCCAATGTGTTTTTTTTTTTTTTCCAGTGTGGTGATTCTTACCATAATAAGGTAAATGCTGCCATAGGACTGGCGTTCATTACCATATTCGTATCACTGTGTCAGAGTATGGTAAAATCTACCATATTTTTTCCCCAGTGTACAGGAAGAGAAAGATGAAGAGGCTTTCGAGGATTGACTCCTGGAGAGGAGTGAGGGAGGAATAGAGGAAAAGACAGGGGTGCAGAGAGTTCAAGCAGATTTGCAAATTGAAATTTTACCTTTGGGAAGGATTGAAATTTCATGTGAAATTTGTTTTTAAGGGCTGAGTATGTAATCCACACTTAAATGCATCCGTTTCCTCAAAATTTAACAATATTTTTTACTCCATCAAGTTGAATCGGTTTGCTCTGTTTTTTCATGGCTCATGGAGCACACGATCCTCTTTGAGAGAAAAAGCAAATAAAAATTGAAGTGACGAATTACTATTTGTGTCATTCAAATTTAGTTTCATTGTTGCTTCTTCTTCCTAGAATTTATATGTTCCTTCAGGACCTAACTTCAGCTGGATTTCAGCCTTCAGTGATGTGATGACTTATTATAAAAGACTATGTACCTCAACTGTGGCACATTATTGAACACACGATCGTATTTTTCATATCTCGCGTATAAACGTCGTAAAAATATTGCTACTCCATAAAATATAATGAACAATTTCGCGTGTGATTTCTCAATTTTATATGCCATTGAAATTTTGCTGCTCCAGGTTCCAGGGATTGGACCTTGATAGAGAAAAAGAGGCGGATAGAGAAAAAGAGGCGGATAGAGAAAAAGAGGCGGATAGAGAAAGAGGAAGGAATGAAGAGACTCCGCGTTTGTACTATTTACCTTGAGAGCTTCCGTCCATTACGGAAGACGAGACGTATGAGTTTGTATGAACTATTTTGTTTACGTTAGCAGGGTGTCTACTAAAACAGGCTGGCCAAAAATCAGTAATTTTACAGTACATTCCCAAGAAATTCAATACCTCCTCAACAGAAAATTTCAGTACTTTTTCGGTGCCTTCAACTGACGAAATTCTAAAACTTTCAATAATTTGAATTTCCCGCTCAAATTGCGACAAAAATGAAAAAAAATTCCGGTCTTTCTTACAAAATTTCCGCACTTTTTCAGTACTTCCGGACCGCCCTTAAAAAATCAGTACTATTTCCGGACTTTCCAGAAATTCCGGACTTGTTGACACCGTGGTTAGTGATCATTACTGATCGTTAGCGTTCGTTAGTGATACATTCGTATAATCTCACATTAATTAAGTTAACATTTTAGTTGCTGAGTTGCGAAACCCCGAGTGCGCTTGCTGTTTGTAAATGTAAAAATATACTTAAGCTCGAAGAATTCTTCGACAACGCGGCAACATCGGGCGCGACGAAATCGAAAAAGGCAACTCGCGGAGCGTCTGCTCGCAGGCGGAGATTTGAGAATGCAAACGCAGGGCTGTAAGCAGCTTTTCGCGAGCAGAGACCGAGCTGGTCTGATTTGGTTGAATTTCTCCACATTTCCACGGGAAAAACCGAGCGAGTGGTGAGGGGGGCGGAGGGCGGGAGGGGGAGGGGGGGCTGTAAGGAGCCGCGACAGGCTGAACAAGTTGGGTAGTGCGTCTGCCTGCCGGTAAGTATGTTAGGAAAACTTGCACCGTTCACTGCGTACACGAATTCGAGGTTTAGCTAAGCTTATTTCGTCGGGATATTGTTTAGAAAATGGGGTTCCGCAACTTCTATCGTGTTGGCACTGCTCCATTGTTGCCGCAGTGTACAATACTTGAAACACCGAGGCAACGTTAAAAGGAACATTACTACGAGAACAGGGTGTCTACTAAAACAGGCTGCCCAAAAATCAGTACTTTTACAATACTTTTTCGGCATATACCCAAGAAATTCGGTACCTCTTCAACAGACAAATTCAGAACTTTTTCAGTGCCGCCACTTAACGAAATTCGAAAAATTATGATCATTTGCATTTCTCGCTCAAATTGCGACCAAAATGACAAAAAATGAAAAAAAATCCGGACCTTTTTGCGGAATTGCCGCACTTTTTCGGTGCTTCCGGAACGCCGTTAAAAATTTAGTACTATTTCCGGACTTTGACACCCTGGTGAAGAAGAAAACTTTGTGCATGGGACCCGAAGTTCAGGATCTCTGAAATGTTCAGTTCGTGTGTCCAAAAACTTGAGGTGCAGCTGCCGAAGTTTGGATCACACATCTTAAGTACTTTGGTGCTACGGTCGAAACTTCAACAGAAGCAATCGAAGTGCGGAGGTACTTCAGGTGCGTATGACCAAAACTTCGCCAGCCATATCTCAAGTTTTCGGATGCACGATCTAAAAACTTCAGAAATACATATGACCTAAACCTCGACTCCCATGCACGAATTTTTTCTCCGTCTACGTCTACCAGGTAACGCCATAGACGATGCAAGTTGGTTGAAAGCTTCAAATCCAGCCCGATAAGATGTCAAATGATGACAACTGAGTGAATATATTGATCAACAGATGAACATTTCCTGACGCTCATTGGCTAAAAAGTTGTGGCGGTAAAGAAGCTTCAAGATTTGAGTCGTTCTACCGTAATATGAGGTTCCTGTCAAATTAAATTATACGGTTTTGACAGGAAAATGTTCTTAAGGGTTTCCACTAAGACGTTTATTCGGTTTTTTGGTAAAAGATCATCATGGCTTGACAGTATAACGGTTCAAAGACAAAAAAAAAACGGGTCCGAGGAAAAAAATATTTGAACGGCCCGTTGAATATAGCATGGGTTGATCGGTGTGCTGTACTATGGTACAACCGAGTGATTTCAAAAAGCGAGCCCAATTGACACGCTTAAAAGATAGCATTGAGCTCTGTCTGATTACGTCAAGAGAAAAAAGATCTTAGAGAAATAGATCGGGTGTGGTTTAACGCTTTTCTAATTGGAGTTTTTGTTTTTTTACAGGCGCGGTGCATCATCGACGAATTTTTCCTCAAGGTAAGATTAACCCTCTAGATACGAAAGTTAATTTCTAATAACTATTTCACCATTCCTTTGAACTCAAATCAAGGATATGTATCACTTCCTTTCATGACTGTTTCGGGGAGTACAATTTTGATTAGCCGTGGGGACAGGGACCGGAGGGACAAGTGAAAACACGGTTAAAATACCGTCCTATTCTTACAGCTTGATTACTTGGGACTGTTACGAGGACAGTTTTACGAATTGAAGTATCGTTAAAGAACCAAAGCGTGGGCGTGGTTACATGCACCAAAGTATACTGTAAACTGTTACATGAATTTAAGTAATAATTAATAAATACATATTACATTTCTTACTTTGAGCGAGAGGTGCAGCTATAGTGCGGGTAAAATTTTAGTTTCTCCGAAATAATGTGAGACACGAAAGGCCTAGTTACTAAGGCTATGGAGAAACGACATGACTAAAACAGGGTGACAATAGTATTCATCGAAGACGGTTTAATTTAGCAAATACGGTAAAATGTAGAGAAGTACGATTGCACGAGCTTAAGTATAGTTGAATTTACTAAACTGCAAGTACACGAACATAAGTACAGTTAAATAAACAGAGGCATGGTTACATGAACCGAATAGTGCGACTAATATGGGACACCTTATCACAGTTCATGAGACAAAACTTGTTTTCCTCAATACCTCCAGGATGTCTACTAAAACAGGCTAGCCAAAAATCAGTCCTTTTTCAGTACATTCCCAAGAAATTCAATAGAAAAATTAATTCAGTACTTTTTCAGTGCCTCCCTCAAAAATTTGAATTTCTCGCACAAATTACGACAAAAATGACAAAAAATTCCGGACTTTCTCGCGGAATTTCCGCACTTTTTCAGTAATTCCGGACCGCCCTTAAAAAATCAGTAACTTTTTTTGGACTTTCCGGAAATTCCGGACTTGTAGACACCCTGGTCTTAGGTCTTATCATTATGTCACTATCGAACAGGTGATAAATGCTTTTGACCGTTGTAAAATTAAACTTTTCGGGAAGGAATATCATATTTGAGTAATTGACAGGACATCGGACATGGGATTCCGTCGCCGAGCGCCGTTTACTAAAGCACGGTTGCGGGGATGGCGAGCGCCTAATGATTATCGACATGGAGGAGGTGATTAATTTTCCCATTGAAGGAGTGGCATGAATAGGGGACGAGGGGATAATTAACTTGTTTGGTTACACTTGATTGATTAGACGCCCCGGGACATGTGTATTATAAATTATCTGTCATGCTACGCTGCACCGGAAAAATGACGAAAAATTCAACTCAAATGCCCGCTCAGTGTTTTTCAAATTGATGATGAAAGCCGGTAAGCACGCTCTTGTTTAAGGTTTCAGGTTCCTTCTTTCAACGGTTTCTTTTCTTCCGTAAAATAATTCGGAGTCCAAAATTTGGACAGTGGCGTTCATTTGTTTTTGTTTTGAAATTAATCTTGAAAAAGGATTTTGAAGTTGAAACCGAGTTATGCATTTTTTCAAATTCTCTAAAATTTCCCATTCGATGTACGCAGCTATGAAAAAAAAAGAAAAAGAAAAAGAGAGAGAGGGAGAGAAAGAAAAAAGACAGAATACAGCGTTATAAATTAATCACCTCAAAATTCGACAGAGCACAGGGAAGAATTTCGTGAGCCGCCCTGCCTGCGCCGCCCGCATGACCCGCCTTTCATTATTACACTTCATCTAGAGTTGAAAATTCACTAATTACTTCACACGACTAGTGTGTAATTTCAAAAAAAAAAAAAAATACACGATATACGAGTTTCTGCGCCAGCAAGCTCTCCCCGCCAACACCCGCCCACCGGGAGAGCCGCCAGCCCGAAACGCGCACTGACCCCTACAAACCTAACGGGCTGCTTCACGCATTGCGCAATGCTAGAAGTATCCCCTTAGGTTTGTAGGCGTCAGTGCGCGTTCCGAGCTGGCAGCACGCCGCGCCGCGCCGCAGCGTGCCATAATGATCGAATTGATTTTGATAATTGATTGTTCACAGCTCCTCCAATTTATTTGGAATGATGATCCTTAAATTGCGTGTCTTACAAATAGTAGTACGCTCATAATTGCGATGCAAGTTTATTTTTCTTTTTTTTTCTTTTAAATTTGAAAGAATTTCCAACGTAAGCTAAAGTGAAAACTAGCAAACGAGGAGCTAGAGAGTTGAAGCACTGAAACTGTTTGCAACTACAGTTGTTGATTGTTGATTTAAGGTTAGAGGGGCATTAACAGGCTCGCACTTAATGAGCACTTGACCGCTCTTGAAATTTAAATGATGACGAAACACGAAATACCGTTCCAACTAATGCGTTCAACCTCGGAATCCGAGCAATGATTAAAAATTATTAATGATGCGTGAAGGGACAGACGACATGCGTTGACCAGCTGCATTATTAGCACTACACGCAGAGCTGCCACTTTATTTCCGAAAAACAAGATTCATCCAAAAACAATACGATTTAGAAATGGAGAATTTGCAGGTGTCTGAAATTTAATGAATTCCGTGTTTAAATGGACGCTACCGAGTGAGCCGAACACGAGGATACCCTTGGTTCATGAATTGAACAATTATTGGAGGAAATATGACAAAATTATCTGATCTGCTAAAATACATGAGTTTAAGTGGGAAATGCCGCCAGATGACGTCACTAGGCAGCGTAATTTCTCACTTTTAAAACTATTTTAATACTATTCCCCATAACCCAAAATTGTTTTAAAAAATACTGCAAAATCAGCTACGCAATTTTTTTTAGATGAGGCAATAAAAAATTTGCGTGCAAATTTTCCATTCCGCGATGATAGTCTAAAGCACTGGAAAAAAAACACATTGGATCTAGAGTCCAGACTCTTAAAAACATCGGCCAGGAACAGTACTCTTCATTCAATTAGAATCTAGCTTAAATCAAGAACCAAGCCTCTTAATTTAAGCGGATTTCGTTTTGATTCAGGCAAAAATCCGATTGAATCAAGAGTATTTTTTCTTGTCGATGTTTTTAAGAGTCTGGACTCAAGATCCAATTTTTTTTTTTGTTTTTTTTTTGTTTTTTTTTTCCCAGAGAATACTGCAAAATCAGCTAGGCACTTTTAGATGAAGCAATAAAAAATTTGCGTGCGAATTCTCCATTCCGCGATAGTAATCTAAAGGAATATGATCGAGTAAGGTAAACGTTCAATTCGAAGGTCAACCATTAGGAATAAAACTTACTGGAAAAGAAACGAAAAAATTCAGAGCTTTCCGCGAAAATTCACATTTTTTTGGCAATATCCGAAGTCTCGTACGGTGTTTTTTCCCGGGCACGGCAGTGTTGGCGACTCGGCGAGTTTAAATCAAGCTGACGGGCCTCGCGGGCGTGAAATTGGCGTGCTGCGGCCGGGGCAGCATTATCGGTGCGGAATGGCCAGTTTCGGGGTTCCGCGCCCCCCTCCTCCACCCCGGGCGGGAGCGCTGAATAATTGAGCCCGCACAACTGGGATCGCAACCACCATCTCTGCTCCGCGAACGCGTTTCCGCCGGTTTTACGAGCATCATCTCCGGACTCCGCCGCACACTGGGTCAAGTCAATCAGGGAGGTCGGGCATGAAATTTTTGACAAAAACTGCAAATTTTGATGTGAATTTCGTCACGTTTTAAATTTCAAGGGGTGCATTCAGAGGGTAATTTTACGAGGACCCAGGGTGTCCACTAAAACAGGCTGGCCAAAAATCAGTACTTTTACAGTACTTTTTCAGTACATTCCCAAGAAATTCAGTGCCTCTTCAACAAAGAAAATTCAGTACTTTTTCAGTACTTTCATGAGACGAAATTCAAAAAATTTAAAAAATTCGAATTTCTCGCTCAAATTGCGACAAACATGCCAACAAATTCCGTACCTTCTTGCGGAATATCCTTACTTTTTCAGTACTTCCGGACCGCTCTTAAAAAATCAGTACTATTTCCGGACTTTCCGGAAATTTCGGACTTGTAGACACCCTGGAGGAAACCAATAATGTCACTTTTAAGACCTCAAAGTTTTGTATGAACGGAGTTATAAGCGTTTAAAGTTTCCAAATTTTGTCAGTCTTCTGCCATTGCCTCGATCCACTGTGCGGCGTTTCGCACGTTTCGGATCTCCCGGCTCAACGACGGCGTTTAAGTCCGAAGAGACTATCTGCGTCGGGACGTAACGCTCGGTCGAGGGCTATTTTACAAGGGTTAAGTGGACGTATTAAAACGGAAAGAGTCTATCTACACGAGGAGTTTTAAATGGCGGACACGTGTGATGTGTGCAGTAGTTACGGACGGGTAATATATCGGTAGTGAAACTGCCCGACCACGGATCTCAATGAACCGCTCAATAAAGGGACTTGGAGCACAAAGCGCATAGGTGCAGTTCTCCCGATTACAAAAAATACGTGTTTGAAGTTTCAAATTAACATGGAGATTCTAGAGTCCCTCCATACTGAGAGTGAAGACAGCCCTGCCGTGATAGCGAAGAGAGCCGTAAGTGCAAAAATGAAGTTTTGAGAAAACGGGCTCGGAAGCTTCTGACAAGAACATTTTACTGAAAGAAGCCTCCGTTCTCTGTCAAATTGCCACTAATCTTCCGGAAGACTCCTCGAAATCGTATGGATGATTAAAAGTTGACAGATTTTATTTCCATTACATAAAAAGGGTATTTTTCATTTTCATGCTAGGTTATTCTTAGGCAAGACAGCCGTAAGTGCTATCTTCTGCATGCTTCCGTGGTTGCGTTTCGGACGCACAGCAAACACATTTTCAGGTTAGAGATCGGCAGAAGAGGGCGGCACTTTACTGGATAGCACTGTTTTCATTGGATCTCATGCACCCACGGCTGTCTTGGAAAAAACTATGTCATTTTTTGTGCACTTACGGCTTTTTCATACGTCTCGTTTTCATTAAATTAGGATGAATTTTGCTGTTTTAGTTGTCTCAGTAATTTCATCTAAAAGAGTTTAGACGAATTTTGAGGAAAACTCGA